ATATATATATATATAAAGAGAGAGGTGTCAGCGCCACAATTTTGGTGTAACGCTGCACATTGCCTGCAGGGTTACCAAATCATTCTGTAAATTTTCGATTACGGCATCAGTGTAACTGCCGACGCATGTATCAATCTCAAATAAAAGAGAGACATGAATACCTATATATAGGTTCAAGATCAATGCAGGGACTGCAATAGGCTCACATCTAATCTAGATCGACGTTTTGATGGCTCACGCTGCTGGAGTCCACAGATGATGCTTGGGGACTTTTCATTTGCCGAGTATCCCTATAACGGAGCAGCAACGATCGTGAAAGCCTTCGGACCAGTGACCCGAAAGCACATACACCATGGAAGGTGCACCCATTATGATAACACGACGATACAGTGGAGGTCAAGTCAACTGAGACAAATTGCGGTGTCCTTTTATGCAGGTGACAAAGATAGACCTTTTCAACAATAATCTTTGTGCAGTGGGTTGCAATCCGCTGCCTACAAGAGCACTTAAAACCTTAGCCAAGGTAAATGAAAACTTCCGGTCAAAGTTGAAAATCTGGCAGAGCCGCCAATATCTAAAACCTTGGGCTTTCCTAATTTAAATAGTAAAACCTAATGAATATGCATTCTACTGGCACCTTCTTACAGAGTTGCCAAACTACTGTGTGATTACACCAACCTGTGTAATCCACAGCTATGAACGGTCAATCCATCTTATGCGACCCACCCTTTCATATAAGGGTACGTGTAACCCCGTTACATTTTGAAAGTAAAAAGTTGCACAAAAGATTGGATAAGCTGTATTTTTAGCCTACCCTGAAGTAACATACTCAATCAGAGCGCAGAAATTAAACGCTGTTAAGGAGGTCACAATTTTAAATAGAAAAAATGTTACGCTGCAGATTCCAAACATTGTGTCTACGTGACTCAAGACCTCCATGCTGACGAGCCAGCCAGGTTAAATTAAACTTCAAACTGGTCTAAGCTGCAGAGATCGAGCCAGGCCGGATGATAAAACCCACAAGAATCACAACGGAATTACGATAAGAAAAAGGCAACCGAATTGCCAAGTCAGCTTTAGTCCTTACTCGCGCTGATCGAGATTAAATCCGTTCAAAGTACAATTGCCAACGAAGGTTACCACGAACATAGACCCGTTCGCGCCACAATGTCGGGAATGTGGCCACGCAGCTCTTTCGTCAGCTTTCGAAGGAGACAACCAACAACTAAAGAAGCATCAACGACGGCAGCACCAGTAAACTAAATGAAATTAGGTGAGCATCATTGATAGGCTTACGTTACATATCATACACGACGGCAGTGCTAGCATCGTCTTCCTCTATCCGGAGATATTGACTGGAATTGTAGTTTTAAATTCCGACGCATAATGAGGGTGACGAAGGCGAAGGCATTTTCAATTTTAAGTGAATATTACCTTGCGCTAGGCAAAGGCGGAGCGAATGGCTGTAAAGCTTGTGTTCTTGAGTACATTGTGGTTTGAGGTATCTTATTGGAGCACATAGTGTTGATATACCACCGCATATTGCTTACATATTTACGAACCCAAGTGCTTATTTGAATACGAACCCAAGTGCTTATTTGAATACGAACCCACATGATAGTAAACGTATCAACAGTTGATCATCGATCGGAACGAATAAGAAATATATGTGATCCCACAAAATTACACTTCAAAAGTTTGAGAATTTTGAGGATCGCCAAATCGGACATTTGTCAAGATAATTCAGAATACAGAGCATGGGTTCAGAGGCAACACAAGAAGACAACAAATGATTCTATCCATATTGCCTTCTACGCGCATATGATTCATTAGTGCATTTATTTGTGCTACGCAGCCGACCAGGTGGAAACAAAACGTATTGGTCACATGGAACTGGGCCTGAAATTTACAAAGCTACAAAGAAACTAAAGTAGGTTACGCAAACGTGTTGTCTACAAAAAAACTGTTATCCAAAGATGAGGCACTGATACTTCGGGCTTAAATAAGAATGAATGAACACTCACTATCTACTAGTAATCGATACCTAGCATTCGATATTTCTAAAAATCTATTTCAGATGCCGGAAGAGTTTATAAAAGGCAGGATTATTGCTCGAATGACGTCGCTCTGTCTAGTTTCAAACTCGGTAACGAAGCCTCGTAAATTGTATAATATTTTCGTGTCTGTCTCATCACTACTTGCTGGTTCTAAACTATTCTTGGCTAAGAAAACCAACTGCATACTATTCGCGTCTCGACGCCGAAGCTGGTCTAGCGTAATCTACAGAATATAATTCAAATAAATTTTACTGACTTACCTGGCAATGATACTGTATTGACAAGCAAGTGGTGGAGCTTTAAAGATTAGGACGTCATATGGCACATGATTTATTGACTGGACAATAATTGAACATGATTTGGGCTATTCGCAGTGCTATTTAAACCAGATTCTGTTTGAGAAATCCAGCAAGTCTGTTTTTTGGTCGCACTTGTCGTAAATCGACCGCAGATTCTGAACAAAGCAATATCCTTATGAGGATGGAACATGAATCTGGGTAATTGAGACGTGTCGGATCCTGTCCTTAATTGGTCCCGAGATGGACGCACATTTAGCGGCCAAACGTCTCCGAGCACTTACCGCCCCTCTGGAGGAGTTCAGCCTGTGATTTGCAATAATTGAAGAGAAGAAACACTGTGAAGACCGTGAACTTAATGTAACGAATATAAGCGATTTATGATAAAAACAAAGCCTTTGATTTTTTGTGACCAACTGCAGCCCGGCAGGGAAGAGTTGAGATCTCTCATTGCAGCAGACCCTCTTCCCGGGGTGGTCGCAGTGGTCGTCTTTATGGAGGGCCTCCGTACTGGCGTGGCCAGAATGGAAGTCTTCGTTTGTTTTAAAGAAGCGGTGAACGTGATTGGGCACCTCTCAAATTGCATGCATTGAGTACTTTACAAAAAATAATTATTTTACTTTTGCATAACGTGAATACTCCTATACAAACAACTTTCGCGCCACCTTTCCAAAGATCCTTACTTAAGGGGGAATCTGAAATACCTAGCAGCATGAAGGAGACTGCGCCGATTCCTGTGCCGGCTAAAGACCCTGCGACCGGAGATGACAAGACAACTGAGTCCACTAAGTCAAATAATATCGTGGAAGATGCGCCTGCCGAAGAGGAGCTTGTGCGTGTGTTTATCGAGCTACATATGGCTTTTGTATCTTATGTCTTGTCATTGTATATTTTTTAGTCGGAAGAGGATCGCAAGCTCAAAGATGACCTTGACACTGCCGTAGCTCGAGTATGCGATCCGCAAGAAGATGTGGGCGTCAAGCATCTTGCGCTTGAGCTTCTACGTCGTGAGATCCGTTCAGCCACGTCATCTATGACATCAGTGCCAAAGCCCCTTAAATTCTTACGACCTTCTTACGATACGCTTAAAGTCGCTTACGATACGTTTCAAGCCGGTAAAACAAAGCAGCTCATGGCTGATATTTTGGCTGTGCTGGCCATGACTATGGCCAAAGAAGGTTCACGGGAGAGTCTCAAGTTTAAATTACTAGGAAATAGCACGGACCTTGGTTCATGGGGCCACGAATTCGTACGCTCGTTAGCTGGTGAAGTAGGTGAGGAGTACAATGCTCGTCTAACAGCTGAAGATGCAGTCGATCCGGATGTCAACGACTTGATGGAGATCGTTGACGCCATCGTGCCGTTCCACATGCAACACAATGCCGAGCCTGAAGCGATCGACATTCTTATCGAAACTCAGCAATTGAGTAAGCTGCTGGATACATCGCATATTGATGAAAAAAATTATCAGCGCGTGTGTCTTTACTTGTTGGCATGTGCTGACTTTATGTCAGATGCGGATGATCTGGTGAACTTACTTAATACTGCTTACTCGCTTTTCTTACGTTTGGAGCAGTACCCAGATGCGCTCCGTGTAGCACTCCGTGTCAATAACGATGACTTTGTGGCAGAAGTGTTCCAAAAGTGCAAGGATGATGTGGTACGAAATCAAATGGGGTATATTTTAGGTCGTCAACGGTGTTTTTATGAAGATGAGAGCGAAGTGTCAGCAAATGAGATTATTGGCAATTCCGACTTGAGCGACAAGTTTCTGTCACTTGCACGAGATTTAGATGTGATGGAAGCTAAGACTCCAGAAGATATCTACAAATCGCACTTATCCGAAACAGCCAGCATAGGTCGTGGGAGGGACTCAGGGGCAGTCCCCACGGACTCTGCACGTGCGAACTTGGCATCAACATTTGTCAATGCTCTGGTGAACGCTGGGTATGGAGTAGACAAGCTGATGACGCCCGAAGGAAATACATGGTTATACAAGAATAAGAAACATGGAATGATGAGTGCAGCAGCGTCGTTGGGTATGATTATGCTATGGAATGTTGAAGAGGGGATTACACAGATTGATAAGTATCTGTACTCTGGAGACGAGTATGTCAAAGCTGGTGCTATCCTTGGTGTGGGCGTAGTAAGTGCTGGGATTCGCAATGATTGTGACCCAGCACTTGCATTGCTGTCTGAACACATTGACTCGGGTAATTGCTCGATTCGCTGCGCCTCATGCTTGGGGCTGGGTATTGCGTACGCAGGATCAGCGCGAGAAGACGTGTCAGAGTTACTCATTCCTGTGGTATCACACGCTGATGAAAATGCTGATATTCAGGAAGTATCGTATGCTGCGCTAGCACTTGGAATGGTGGAGGTGGGCACTTGTGACGAAGAGGCTGGAAGTGTGCTTATGCAGCGATTGATGGAAAGCTCAGATGCCGAGTTAGACTCTTCCTGCGCACGCTTTTTAGCTTTAGGCCTCGGTTTGTTGTATCTTGGGTACGTAAGGTAGCATTTGTGCAATGTCATTGTCTAGCATCTTATCCTTCTTTGCTGTTCATTCTTTGACAGTCGTCAGGAGCGTGTTGAGGCGATGCTGGAAGCAGCAAAGACAATTGAGCACAAGATGTCGAAGTATTTGGCTATTACATTGGAGACTTGCGCTTACGCTGGCTCAGGTAACGTCTTGAAGGTTCAGCAGCTGTTGCGCACATGTGCCGAACACATTGAGGATCCGATAGAGGCACAGCACCAAAGTGTTGCGGTGCTAGGTATTGCGCTGATTACAATGGGAGAATCAATTGGCAGTGAAATGGCTATGCGGTCGTTTGATCACTTATTACAGTATGGTGAGGTGGCTGTGCGACGTGCTGTGCCGCTAGCTTTTGCTCTACTCAGCGTGTCAAACCCAGAGTATGCATTGATCGATACATTGTCACGTTTGACACACGACGTGGATTCGGGTGTCGGTCAGAACGCGATTCTTGCCCTAGGCCTCATTGCTGCTGGCACGAACAACTCACGCGTGGCTGGATTACTCCGTCAATTATCTGAGTTCTATAGTCGCGAAGCGAACCACCTCTTTGTCGTTCGAATCGCTCAGGGATTACTGCACATGGGCAAGGGGCTCATGACTCTGCACCCCTTCCACTCCGACCGACTGATTATGTCTCGTGTTGCCGTAAGCGGTTTGCTGACGATCTTGCACGCTGCGTTAGATATGGAACATACGATTTTGGATACTTCTCACTACATCCTATACTGCATTGCTACAGCAATGCAGCCCCGAATGCTCATTACACTTGATGAGGAGCTAAACCCACTTCCCGTGTCCGTCCGGGTCGGCCAAGCGGTACGTTCTTGTATGTGATGCCTTTTTGAATGTAAAATTGATGTATATTGTCTATTGCAATTTAGGTCGAGATTGTGGGACAAGCCGGTCGTCCGAAGTCAATTACAGGATTTCAGACGCACACGACACCTGTGTTACTGAATGTCAGAGACCGCGCAGAGCTCGCGACAGAAGAATATCTCCCGCTTACAAATGTGCTAGAAGGCGTTGTTATCCTCCGGAAGAACCCGAATTACGAGCGTGAAGCTTAAGTAAGCGGTGGAGGAGGTCGAAGACCGGTCTATTACAGTGATGTTGGTTTGCCATTTTAGTCGGTCTCGCTTCCGTTAATCATGCCAATTAATGAAAATACCTTAAACACACATGCAATGCTTGATCATCTCTAGAGTTTTAACAAGTCAGGTGCGACGAAGCGTCGGTTGAAGCATGTGCTCGTATCTTGAATCTTACTATGTTGTCCAATACTGCCACTTAGTAAAGGCGTAACAGAGCCTGCTAAAATTTCCAGCCGTAGACGTAGTGAAAAGAGCATGCCTATTGAAATCTTGGACAAGGTCACTGCTACGCGCAGGGAAAGCTCCTCGAAATTAGTATGTTTGATCAATTGTGCTTATCGTTGCATTCGTGACGAAACCCATCGTCAACTTACAGGACAAGGGAATCTCTAAGAACCGAACGCTGCCAAGCCGGGGCTTTGAAGAGAAAGCAACAATCTTACGAGCATCAAATTTCAGCAATGGTACGTGTCATGCATTCATTGACACTTGACTCGACCATAGTCCGGCTTGCTTTTTGTACAATCTTGATATTGCAACTCAGCTCTCCAAACGTCAGCAAGATACGTTCCGAAGACCGTCTGGACAAAGCAGTATTCATATAAAGTGCCTACACCCGACATAAGAGCAGGCGGCTTAATCTTAAGCACTCAGTCAAAGCGCATTGAAATGGCGACATTTCCTAGTCACAGGTGGCATATTTTGCCCACTCAACACGATCGATCTGGTACACTTGATTCGGTAAGCACGTGGTGAAGATATGACTCGAGAAAATGACAGTTTCGAAGTGTGTCGTTAAGGCTCCACGAGATTACTTGAAGTTGTCACAAAACAAGGCTCGAGTACGACATGCCTCTGGAAGCCAAGTAAGATGCTTCAAAGTGCATTAGTTTCTGTAGACGTCAGTGTTAACTTTTCGAGTTTTGGAGTGAGTAGATCCGCCCTTCAGGATCTCAAAACAACGTCAGAGGCTTTGTCAGGTACAAAAGCAGTGATATTAAAATTCTCAACTAGCCTCACTCTTATCATTTATTTTAGAAAATCACCCGAAGTTTGGTCGAATTCGTCGCTTTCCGTGAGTGCACACTGACGTGCATTCGAGTGATGGACACTGAAGTAGGAAATGTTTTGTTGATCATGTAATAGGCAAAAACATGGTCAAAATTGGGAAGACCCAACTCACATACTAGTGATCATCGTATGAAGCTCCAGACAGATTCGTTAAGTAAGAGCAATAAGAAGTTAGCAGGAGTCAAAAAGCCTGCAAATGCTTCAAGTGAAGAGGTGGGAACATTTTGCGAGAAGAAAGAGTAATGATCTTGACCCGAATAAAATTAGGTACATTTTGCCTTGACACCGGAAATTCCAGGAATACCAATTGTCTACCGAAATGAAAACGTAGGTAAGCATCAGCTTTTCTATCGAATAGTGAACTCAAGATTGAATAAACTCCAGGCAAAAGCGATAAATTTGGAGCGAATGAGTCTTGATCGAAGAAACTTACCAGTGATACCTCTTCTTGAAGGCGAGGAATCTCTCCGACAGCTTTATCTTCAAAATAACACGATTCAGAAGATCGACAATTTGTTAAGTCTGCCGAACTTGATCTTTCTTGACCTTTGTAACAATCACATTGAGGTAAATTGCAAATGCAGAGCTTAAAAGCTAATCAGTGATGCTTGAACTGATCATGATGCTACAGAAGCTCGAAAATTTGCATCACGTGCCAAACTTACGGGTCTTAATGATGGGAAGTAATCGACTGACAATCATTGAAAATCTGGAATGCTTGAAAAAGCTGGACGTGCTGGATTTGCACAGGTTCGTTTCTCAGTACACTTCATCAAAGAAGGATACTTGACAAGCTCTGTTGTTAAGCAACAAAATCGAGCAGATGCAGAATCTGAATGATCTTAAGGAATTGCGAATCTTAAACCTTGCTGGCAACTTAATCTCCACGGTTGAGAGTATTGATAAGCTAATGCAGCTTACCGAGCTTAATCTTCGGCGCAATCGAATTAGCAGCATTAAAGCAATTGGTGCCCTACCTTCGCTGTCAAGAGTGTACCTATCAAACAACAACCTCGAAACCTTCGATTCAATCGAACCTCTTTTCCAGGTTTGAAAAGTGTTTTTATTCTGGCTGTATGCAATTTAAACAATTGCTTTTATGGTGTCGTGAAGGTTGTTTCCATTAACGAACTGCGTCTGGACTTAAATGGCTGCACATCGAACGTAAAGGAGTATCGTGCTCGCATGATACGTAACTTCCCGTCATTGAACAACTTGGATTCAGTGATTCTCACTGATGCCGACCGAGAAGAAGCTTTCTTGCAGACTGCTGATAATAAGGGCATTGATACTGTGAAAGAAGTCACGAGCGTGCATGCGATTTCGTGTGTCACGACACACTGGGAGAATCGTGCAGAGCTCGAAAAATTTTCAAAGGACTCACAATGTGTTCCATTTCCCTCATCCTGGGCGGATCCTGCGAGAAAGTCATTAACGTCAGTTGTCAATCTCGTTAAAGAAGAGGCGAAACCTACAAGTCTAGAGGAGCAAGCCGAGCACTGCATCAATGCTGGCTCTTCTAAAGTCAATGTATGCGACGAAGACCAGCACATAGACAATAAGCTTTCAACACAGTCCCAACATTCCGATGTAAGATCAGCTGAAGCTTCAAAAGGTAGCTCTTCGGTGATTTACGAGGCTCGAGAAAAAGCCGCAATTGAGAAAAATTCTTCAGACGTAGCATCTGATCGGCAGCATGCCGCCCGAATTTCAAATGTCACTCAGGATGCTCTTGACATCGAGAAAAAAATTGCGGTATGTCACCATCTCTTGTTTTTTGCCTCGTGCTCTAAAGTTAGTAAATGTTTCGTCAAACAAGGCCTTCGACCACGCATGGAAAGACATACTACTATCGATCGTTAAGGTATGTGTATTCGTCTTCTAAGGTATTCACTTGCTGTAAGTATGACATCGTTATGGTAGGAAACTTTGCGAGACATTGAGCGTCACGACAATTTTATGTCTGGTTGTCTCGATATCTTGTGACTCCAGCACGTACCTTTGAAAGCCAAGCTTCCAATAAAATGTTTGATCATTCCTCCGTGTCCATCTTTTCAGCTGTTTTTTTGCTCTTCTTTTTGTCAACGTCCATGTCACCACGCGCTTCCTTCTCCATTTTACTGATGCGCATCCTTCGCAGCACTTTGTTTGATACTTTCTTTACCACTACCTTGCTCTCCTTCGCAGCTTTCTAGACATGACAAATCACTCACTATCAATCATGCAGCAACAATTTATAATACAAATGACGCACCCTCTCGCGCTTTTTCATGAGCTTCTCCTTACGTTGTCGCTCCTTTTCTACGTCGAGCTCATACTGGGCCTTAATTTTAGAGCGATTATTCTTCCTCGACATGGGTCAGTTTTAGTATTTTGCTCTTGAGGCCATCAAACCTTGTACCACACCATGTTTACACAACATCGTAACTTGGTATGAAAAGCAGACGTCGTAATGCTCAGACGCCATCGTTCTACTATCTACTTCCTCTAAGCATACGGTACTTTATTGTCCTCAAATTTTGCAGCAATCTTATTACCATGATTGTATGATTGACTTAAGAATGACGATTGAATGGTCGATGAATAAATAGGCGGACGCTGGCAAGTGTATCACTTGGCATCTCAATTGGTGTCGCAGGGACTTTGATACTGTTGGGTCTGGAAAATGAAAGGATCAAAGATGATGAATATCCAACATCGATAGACTCCAAGAAATTGGTTCCTACACACGAAGCACTACGCTATGGAATGCCTTCAAATTCGAATGTGCACGTACGCTCGGGATACGTTGTGTCTTATGACTACCGGTTTGTATTTTAATCATATTTACGCTGCTACGCAAAGTTGTGATTTGACAATTGTGAGCGTATTGTTAGCACACGCAATGCGTCGTGGGTGATAGAACGCTTGACCAAAGACTCGCTACGTGCTGAGCAAGAGACCAATCGAGCAAGCTCCAAATTTATGGTCGATACGGATGTTCCAACTCAATTCAGGGTACATCCGAATCATTTTTTGAAAAGTGGCTATGACAAAGGACATCTCGCACCGGCTCGTACGTGATACTGTGAATTTACATTTTTATTATAGTGAGGGACGTCCTGATGTTTGTGCGGTATCATTGAATCGATGTGCTCGTTGCAGGTGACATGAGTCAATCCCAGGAAGCTATGAATGAAAGCTTTTTGATGACCAATATTTCACCACAGGTTGGTGTAGGCTTTAATCGTGGCTATTGGTCGCGTCTTGAAGGCTTCATGCGTCACTTGGCTGGCCAATACAATGCCATCTATGTGATAACGGGACCACTGTTTCTTCCCAAGGTTGGTGGACTCAAAGACTTTTAGCCACTGTATTTATTTTCTGATTTCTTCTTTTAAACGATAGCGGAACAAGCAATCAGGAGAATTTGCCGTCTCATATCCAGTGCTTGGCACTCCACCGGATACCATCGCCGTTCCGACGCACTTCTTTAAAGTAGTGCTGGCTGAAAAGCGACATGGCAAAGGCTACGCTACGGCTGGATTTATTTTACCAAATCGATTTATTCCAGAAGACAAAGATCTGCATGACTTTCAGGCTCCAATACATATTATTGAAAAACAAGCTGGCCTGCTCTTCTTCGACAAGGTTGTTGGCACTCAAATGATATCATGCTGGTTTAAAAGTCACTAACCCTTGTAATTTATCCATGCAGCTTGATGGGATTGAAAAAGGAGATTTGTGTCGCGAAGTCAAGTGCGCTCTCGCTCTCGCATACCGCAAAGCATCTTCTAAATTGCTGGAAGATGCATCAATAGAGTTGGCTACTTCATAGCCACAGAATCTGTCAACTTTACACTTAGAATGAAGTCTTTAGATTATTGACGAATTTATGTGATTGCCTCAATAATTATATCAATTTATTGCAACTTATTGTATTGTAAAATTATAAGCGAATAAAAATTGTTGAAGATGAGTCTTAACGAGCACGACGCCGCATTGTCAGGGCTCATGGGCGTGGAGGTGACGCCGCCACCTGCCCCATTGGTGAGGGCCTTAGGTCCACATCAAGCTGAGGTTGTGGTGAAGCGGAACCAATCAAAATACGATTTTGTCAAGGTGCGCGTATGGGTCGAGGACCATGTCTACGTGCTGTCGCGTTACTTATTGTGTCGTGCGCTGGTTAGCGCTAAAGTTGGTGACTTTCTAAACGTTAAAATCAAATGATCCATTCGTCGATAATGACTTCAATTTCTTTTGATGGGTAATGCTGCAGATAAAATCAAGAGACGCTGTGCAGATTTCGTTAGATTTAAAGAGGGTACGAAAGTAATTGAGAAGCTATCGAAAAGGTTGTAATTAATATGGCTTTTGCTGCAGACACTGGTCGATCTAAATCTTACAGATATCGTGCAGGAGCAATTTGAAGACTTTTTATATAAGACATTGCTGGTGTTTGGATATGGGGAACAGCAGATTTCTTGCCATAGAATGATGTCTAGGTTGGTGTAGATATTTAAACTGTGCAATATTTGATATTCCTGATTGATTGTATGATGCCAGTTTCCACCGCAATCGTGTTCCACTATTGATCATGCTCGCGGGTACAGCCTGCATTGGGAAATCTACTCTAGCAACTAAGGTAGTGATATGTTTTTTGGGCTTTGTAATCAGAAACTAATACATTATATATCCACAGTTGGCAGATCGGCTGAATTTATCGAGCGTGCTTCAGACTGATATCATTTTTGAGCTTATGTGCAATTTTTCAGGGTAAAAATCTTAGCATTCTCATAGAGTGTTGTGCGGATTTGACATACGTGAAATATGCAGGCAAGATAAAACGTGTTATATAACGACAAGATTTCCGTCCTCGGATGATCTCATTACTGCATATCAGAAAGAGTGCGAAGTGGTTCGGAAGGGAGTTACTTCTGACATTGACAAATGTCTTAAGGATGGCAAATCGTTGATTATTGAAGGTTTCCACGTTGACCCCCGTCTATATCAAAAGACCATTGCCATCGCACCGAATCAGGACAACAACACAGGTTGCTCTGGTATTGTAGTGCCATTTCTGCTGACGCTGGACGAAGCTGACCACCGTGACTTCATGACAAACTCTCCTGATCCGCGATATCGCGGAGACCAAAATGCAGTTGGCTTTCGGAACTTACAGGATGTGCAAAAGTATTTAATCTCGCATACGCATGAGGACGGGATGCTTCCGTTTACTGAAATTAGCATTAATCTTCATTCCTTCCACGACACATTAAACCAACTTCACGATGTTGTACTCAAGCGTATTGAGGAAGTTTTTATGAGCAGCAAGACAGGTGAAGCTAAGTAATAGACACTATGTTTGTCGTCTACTGCTGAAACAAAAATTTGAGGATTGAAAGCTTAGAAAGTAAGCTCTCTGAAAAGTTAAAATTAAAATTAATAGCAACATAAATCTTACAAATTGTACAAATTTGAGCTGATTAATTAATCAATTCTTTTACTTTGTATACGGATGCAAGTTTTTCTTGAATATTTTCGACCCCAACAAATGTTATTTACAAGATTAAAGCCGCAAAAATGTCCTCTTCATAAGCGTCAATAATATAGCTATACGTTTTCAGCTGTTAGTTCTACTAAAAGGGACTTTCATGCGGGTTGGCTCGTGGTCGCCAACGTCATATCCAGTCTCTTGTAAAATGGAGTGGCTATTATAATATCAGAAACTTGAGCTTTTGTTCCAGAAAGACTAGCAGAGGGACTGCCGCGCATCAAAGCTTTGCCTCTTCGTTCAGCTTCAAGCGCATACCGTCTATTACCTAGAGTAAAGGATGTGAGGACACCCTCCTGCATGGCTCACTATGAAAATTAACTCATTACTACTACTCTTGAAGTGACTCAGCGAGCAGAGCTTGCGCATCTGCAAGTACAAACGCGCGACGACATTCAAAAAGGGTACTCTAGCTCAATCACGTCGTGAGTTTGGATCTCATTCATCAGAACCCCAACCCCCGACACGGCGCGGTTCGAGAATAGTTATGTGTGTAGGCCTTTGGTTTAATCTGAGTATTAAACGTATGCTCGACATTTGCTAGTAAAGCACTTTCAGGACCTGTAGGATACTTTATGAGGGGCCGCTTACAGCCGGATCAGCAGCGGTTACTTGTCGGAAAAACGTTTCGCTAGTAAACGACAACAACGCCGTGAGAGCTCAAACTTCATGGTATTCTCGGTGATTTCAGTCATTACAATTTCATAAGTAGAGTTTGTACCACGCAGCGGCAATGATTAGCCTGCATGGATAAGAGATTCATCGTGCCCATCAAGGATTCCGTGGACAGTGAATCCTTTTATGATTCTTTCTCGATTGTGGCGACGCGTGGATGTTTCTTTGTGAATATAAGTCCTTTCGGACGTGCTATGGGGGGCAGCAACATTCAACTTATAAACAAAGCAGCTCAAAGATGGATAACAGCGCGGGAAAGAAGGTAGATCATCAACTCGGGTCTTGACCAAAAAATAATACAAAACGATGTAAAGCTTGGAACAGTGTGTGCTGCATCATCTAGCGCAAAGTTGATGAGTGGGAGCATATCAAATCAGCACCGGGTATTTTTGCGCAAGCGTTTCGATAATTTCCCCTATAACGCGACTTATTGGACATCTATATGTGGAGAATTAGTGATTGAGATATTCGATCCGATGCCGAGCACTCTAAGTAATGTTTGCAAAGGCTTCGCCGCTGATCGCGGATCTTTATTCGATACAATGACTCCCGGAAAGCCATGTTTGCAAAACTATTTAATAAGGAGTAGTTTGACTGTATTCTGACCGATTCTACATCGCCAACAGCACCGAGACTAGACGTCGCACGGACTGCCCGCAACGACCACAATGCTTCTATTATAGGACACGTTTTTGAGTAAGCCGATGCCGATGTCACCGCTATAGCAGTATTGGTACCAAAGTATGAGCTGAGCTCATCCTCCTATTTGTCCTTGGGACTTCCACAGAGTACTGAGCGCGGTGAGTGAGAAAGCAGCCCCCAAAGATCTTACGGGTTCGTTCTATTCTTTGTTGAATGTATATCAAGGCATGGCGACAAGTGATCTTCCACCCTTATTACCCTCGGAAAAGGGAGAGCGTCATGAAATTATCATGGTTCCGGAAACGAATATTAACGTCACACGGCAATGATTCTATTCAAGGAACAGTGTGACCATATTGCCACTTTCATTTGTGCACGGAGCGAGTCTGATAGTAGAAAGTAAATTTACAAACTTGATGCCGGCTCTCAGTGTCAGAAGTTTAACGGCAAGTGGTGTACTTGCTTATCAGAAGTTGAATGCAGCCATGATTTTGGCGCAAATATTTATTCCTGGAAAAATTGTGCTGCAGAACAACATAATGGCTGCACTATAATCAGAGCCCGTGCTCTGATTGATGGTTATTACCAGATGATAATGAGGCAGCGATATCCTTCTTATTGCGGTGAGCGAGATGCCATATAAGTGACTGGTTATACCAGTGGAATTGTTTTATACCTCAACGACGTACGCAGTTGTCTCGATCATTGTGTTTTTCTACACGCTTATTTCGACGATGTATCGAACCATCGTCGTGTAGAGCAAGCGAAGTCGAATGCGAGGACCACAGAAAAACACTTGTGTGGAGTGTACTAGTGTATGTCCCCAAATAAAGTATCAGCTACTGTAGACATATGTGTCTGGTGCCGAAACGTTCTACAAACTTTTCTGTTCGCGTTGCGTGATTCCAAATTGGGGCCTGCGAGCAAATCTTGCAAGGATAATAACTATTGCATACTTGTCAGTGCAGATGGAGTTGGGGGAGTGGCTTGGCCTTGCATAAGTGCAGTGCAAACTATGTCGGTATGGCACAAGCTTTTCAAAAGATGTTTGGTGATGCTGGGGTGTAGTGGACAAGGCGGTCTTTAAGAATGCGAAAGAACGCTTCATGCGTGTCTCGGCCATAGCTGTTCCGTAATTTCTTTGGCCATTCCAAGTCGTCTGTGATGCTCCGACTGTTGCAATAGGCTCTACACTCTTCCAGAAGATACCAAAGGGTGTGAAGGCGTGATCGCGTTTGATTCTTGCCAGATAAAAGCTGCTGGGAAGAATTATCTTGCCCATTACAAGGCGGCTAAGTTCAGGGTACGCCTGCTTGGCTGAGGTGTTTGAGATCAATATGGATTAGGCGTTGTTGCGCACAACGACACTGTAACCACTTTTCACAAAGAATAGGAACATAGTTATCCTCCTTCGCAGAGTTAAAATATTTTAGTAAGTTACTAGCCGTATTGGCTTTATGTGGTGGCAAACTTGCTTTCACACCAGGATTACAAGTCGCATGCCACAATGATGACGTCGCCAAGTGATGTGACGATATATAGCGTACGAATCAGACTCAACATATTTTGTGTTGCCGTGATTTTTGAATGAAAGGCGTTTGAGAGCCTTTTTGTAATTTCTGGTTGTGCGAATTAATTGCGATGACGCCAGTCCCTCAGCGTGCTGTGGTGCCCCAGAACAGGGACCTCGAGCTAAAGAATATGTACGACCCTTTAGGTGTCCACCTCGGAAAAGCCTAGAAATACTGCTTTAGGTTCCTTTAAATTGGTGGCTCAACATGGATAGATGGGTTAGTACATTTGTGTCTAAAGTGTCAGCAATTCAGCCCTAGCCGCATGTGGAGGCAAATTTGTCGGTTTTAGCTGGATGCTGGTAATCTCTTAGTTTAGACTTCACTTTGATCATTGAATAAACCCCGGAGACGATTCCGTCCGGTC